AAGATTTATTTATTTATGCATACAGAACTGGGGTACCGGCCAGAGGTGCAGGGGCGGTGAGAGGCTTCACCAGAGACAGAGTAGGTAGCAGAACAGGCAGGTTGACGAGGTACACTGCTGAGGGGAGCAGTGGGTGGGTTAGGAGAGGTCTGCTGCACCATGTGGGTCACCTCCGGGGCTGGGGATTGAGCTCGCATTGAAGTGGCTGTGGCTCGCTTGCAGAGCTGTGTCCTAACCCATTGCACCACCAGGGAGGGCCCAACAATTATATATTTTTTAAAGTGTGCTGCTTTGTGTTCTGATATAGCTCCGAGTTGAGAATAAAGCTGCATGTTATGTGGGAATTTAGAATATTTGAGATATTAATTATAACTGTATTGATCGTTTGGATTATATTTACATAATATGAATTTTAATTATTTAGAATAAGCTTTTGAGAAATAGAAAATTGTTTTAGATCAACCATTTTAAAATAAAATGTTTTATGATATAATATTTAGCCCATGCAAAGGAATATAGGCTTCATCTGCAATGGAAAGTAGAATGTGCCTATTTGGTATGATTGGAGAAGTTGTTTTTTGGGGTCTGGGACTGCTCAAAAAATTTTCCATAGAAATCAATGGTAATTGCATTCCCAGGACTCCAAACTAACTTAGCAAATCATACCAAATAGGTATGCATTTTACTTTTGCATTTTATTAGCACTCTGCTTTTGGATAGTGGTATATATATAAGATGCTAGCTGATGTCATGAAGCATGTAAGAAAACAACATATGCGTATAAATGTAACTCAACCACAAGCCAGAACATTGCATCTGTCCATGTCCCTCTACATTCCATTCTGCTTCCTCATCATGAGGTAACCACCATTCTGATTTTTGTATTTATCATTTTCTTTAAAAATTTTAAAAAGATTTATATTAGTTTAAAAAAATTTAGAGCCAGTTATGTATCCCTAAATACTATATGGTTTATTTCTGTTTATTTTTTCCATAAAAATGTATCTTAGTGCACATAATCTCAAGTAACTTTTTTTTCCCAGCCAACATGTGTTGAAGATTCATCTATACAGCATGTGGCAGTAGATTTTTAATTTTCATGGCTGTATAATATTTCACCACATACAGTACCGCATTACTTATCTGTTCTACAGATCTTATCTGTTGACAGACCTACATTTTTTTTTTTTTTACAAATATAAGTGGTGTTGCTGTGAATGTTCTTGTACACATCTCCTGAAACAAGTGTTTGGGGCACAAGCTGGGAGTGGAATTACTCGCCTACAGGCTATGCAAATACTCAACATTAGGAGACCACAACAGAGGTTTTCCAAAGTATTCCAAAGGTTCCCATCAACTCATTTTCATTAACTTCTGGCATCGGTAGGCTTAATCTTCCCTAGTGTGGTAAATGTAATATATCATCTCTCAGGCAAGAAACGGTGTCCAGAGAGGTCCTCACCTGCGTGTCCACACTCACTCTCAGTGTGGCTGAATGTTTACGGTTCCTTTGGGAACTTAAGTGTGCTGAGGAGTAAGTGCCTCCAGGATTCGCCTTGCTCAGCCTTTTTCTTGTTTGGGAAGAGCTGTGTCTCTCAGGGATTGACTGAAGGAGCAGCCGTTTAGGGTAGCCCAGTGGTTTCTTGACTCTCACGGGCAGAGGGATTTTGAAAAGAACAGTTTGAAGCAGTATTTTAATTAAGAGATTCAAGCTGTTTCCACTTTCCTAATGACCAGTGCTTGCTCTCATTGTCAATTACATTCCCAGCCACGATGACAAGGAATCCTTTGGGTGACTTTTTTTCTCTCTCTTTCCTTTCTGATTTTCTGGACTACAAATTAAGACAGGTGGAGTTCCTTCTTATACATTTCCCCAATGGGTTTCCTGGGACTCCCCCCCAGCCCCCAAATGCCTTCTTTGTGCTTCACTGAAGAAGTGAAAAATTGAGGTGATTTTGGAAAATGAACATCTTTATTGATTAGGGGCTGATTCTAACAGCATGTGGCCATCTGTTTAATTGGGTTTCACATCTAAGATGTAACTATACTTAGTAACATGATTTATGAGAATTTCATTCTGTTCCCGTTATCATTTTCTGATTTATGCCACCTAAGTCTACTTCTGCATGCAGTAGAGACTTGGGTAGAAAATAGAAAAACCTGTAGGTTTATTTAATTTTAATTTAATTTACTTGTATTGTTATTTTGCAACCCCATGCCTTTGTGTGAACCCTGTGATTTGCGGCCATCTTTCTATGGTTAGATTTTTGCAGGGTGGTTATAGCTTCTGATTTTTTTACCCTTGTCAGGCTGGGTAGCAGTGTCTTTAGCGAGCGTGTCACGTACTGTGAAATGGTACTGACTTTGGTCTGCCATAGGAGGAGTTATACTCAGGAGCTGTGACAGAGTTTAATTATGTCTGAACTGATACGGTGGTTAAAGAGGAAAACAGGGACCATTTTCTGGGGTTATTGGTGCCTACGCTTGTGCTTCTTTAACTTTGTGATAACTGAGAAACAGGTCTCCTGGCATTTAGTAGGGAAGCAGGGAGACCCTCGGGGGGCCATTGGCTTAGTGGCACGCCCTCGGGGCATTCCCCTTTGCGGGGCCCTGTTGTCCCCCCTGCAACCTGTCGGGGCTACCTAGCCCCCAGAAGTTTTGG